ATCTTCAGTAGTTACTAAAATATCGCAGTTTTCGTATTTCTGGAAATTACCGTTATATGGGAAGTGGGCGTGGTTACTCTCCGATTTCGCCCATTAACATTTCGCCTTGGATTAACAGAAACCTACATACCAAATTTCGTTGAGATATCTCAATTTTGCTCGAGTTATCGTGTACACGGACGGACGGACAGACGGACAGACAGACATGGCTTAATCGATTTCTCTATTCATTCTGAACATATATGTATACATTTGTCTATATCTATCTCGATTCGTTTTGGCTGTTACAAACAACCGTTATGTGAACAAAATTAATATACCCTTGTGCACAAGTGCGCTCGGGTATAAAAAATATACTTACACAGCGAGTAGTTATACCATGAAATTTTTACAGTTATTTTAAAAATTATAAAGTAGAATTATGTGGAAATGTTCGACCTTTGGCTTAAATGTGCATTTTAAAGACTTTAAAAAAATAGATACTACCATAAAGTCTTTTATCCTTCGGGATAAAACAACAGGGTTAAAGCTTTCTTAAAAATATTCCATATTGCATTGTTTTTAGAATATAACGGTTCAAAGTATGTTAATAATCCGTTTTTTTTACACCTTTAAGCCCAAATATCTCAAAAACTACAATTAATCTGAAATTTCTAAAGTCAGAATCTGATTTCGCGTACAAAAATTTATAGCATCAGCTTTTATTGACTCTGCCGAATAATTTTTGTGGCCAGTCTTATCAGTCGAAAAATATCTCTCTGTTCATATAAAGTTATTGAATAATTATTAAAAGTACTTTCCCTATCTGTAAACTTAAATAGTTGGATAACATTAAAATAAACTTATTCTGCGAGGGAGTACTTCGACAGATATTCACTTCTAGTTACGAAGAAAGAAAACAACAGGGTGCAACAAAAACCAAAAAATTTCAAAACACACAAAACCATGATACAAAAAACAAGGTAGTTCCATTGTCACTTTTCCGTCGCCATATTAACAACCTGACAATTAAGCAGATTGTGACATTTCGTGCTACCATACCCAAAATCTAAAATACTTCAAATTTTCTTATTAATTTTTTGTCGATTTAAAAATCTTTGTTCTTAAGCATAGTATTTTATTCCTATTTCACGTGAAAAGCTGTTAAATTGCATATAAAACTTCTTTCTGTGAAACAAGTGTGAAATTCGACAACATTTCCTCAGCAAAGTACTATTCTGTTCACGCTGTGAAAAAACTTGCAACATTTTTGCAAAATGAAGCTAGCAACACAATTTTCATGACATTTTTAAATACACATGTACATTTTAAATTGTGTGAAAGCTGACAGTTTATAGAATTCAGTAGCGGCGAAAACAAAGGGGGGTTAAGTAGTTAAACCTTACCCAAGCCGATCGTAAATCTTGCGACGCAATTTCAGCTTACGCCTGTCGGTCTTGACAAGAATGTAATCCCTCAAGGTTTAGCTTAACATGGTTCTAGGGATACACCCTGTGATGATGTTACTTTCCAGAAGGTTTCGCGCCCGTTTTTCTGTACATATTTCCATTGGAAAAATGCCTCATCTCAGTATGCTAGGTAAATGCTTCCAGAGGTATCTATGCATCACCAGAATTTTAGTTTATATGGCTTATACCGCGAGCTCTCGTAGCTGGCTACGAGATCGTTTTCATATACCCCCATTTTTCATAGGTTTGGGATTGATTTCATTTACCTCTTTTCCAAGTTCTACGGTGGCACGCTGCATTTTCCAACAAACCCATATTTTATCACGAGCTTGAGATTGACTTCATATACATACATATATCCATACCAAGTTCCAGAACTCTACCATAAATACTTCCAGAGATATGCACTATGAAAAATTCGATTTGTATGGGAGGTTCCACACCCCCTTTAGATAACGGTTTTGTTTTAGCCTATAACCATTCTTGGAAGATTTGTGTCCGAAATTTCAAAAAAATCGACATAGCCGGTATGGGCATTGTGACTCCTCAAAGGAAATGAACTATTGATTGCAAAAAATGAAATCAAACGTCGTAGTTGACCAAAAAAGAATATTAGACTTCATTCTCTCAACTTATCAGAATGTAGAAAAGCTAAGAAATATATAATAAGATAGGTTATATTAAAACAGCCTCCAAAACATTTACTAAGGACGCCCCTGAACTACACAAATCAGTTTGATTGAAAATTTGTTTTTATCTATTTATTTTATACTTCACTTTTGTGTGTTTCAAAACTTCATGTGAAAACAATGGCCCGTAGTCATAGTCAAAATAAAGTCGACTTTAAAGTTAGTTGCAGCTTTTTGACATAATTTTCAATGGGATATCTGTCAAAAAAGCTGCAACTAACTTTAAAGTCGACTTTATTTTGACTATGACTACGGGCCTATATGTGTTGCTGGAAAAATTTCGCGGCCCATGGATCCCAAAGTAAATTCCATTTGCTGTTAAATGGAAAAAGACAATATGTATTAAATAACAGATCGAAATGTATAATTTCAGTGTCTGAATTATATCAGAATCATCGTATCCGATATAGAAAACTACATTGTGAAATAATCAGATGATCATGAGGACACTAAAAAAATTTTAAAATATGTTCACTAAAATTGTATTAATATTAAAATAATGATTTGGCAAGTTTTTATCGAATTTAATGTAAAATTTAAACGTTTTTAAGATAAGATATTAATTATTATTAAAAGGTAAATATTAACACAACTATTTTATTTATAATCCCAAATTAAGAATATAAAATCTTCCACACCAAAAAACTTACAATTGGGTAACGCCGCTTCGAATTTTTCACAATTGAGCAATTGTCAAAAATCTGCTTTTTAATCAAAAAGTTGTTTATTGAAACTACCTTCTTTTTTTGTATCATGCACGAAACAATCATTTGACTCATAAAAATATTGGCCCAGGATTTTTTTCAAAAAACTTTGAAACTTCAAAGATACGATTAATTTGAAAAGTTAGTGCAATTCTATATTGGACAGTATCGGTACCATAGAAGGCGGCCGCTGGGGGTTAGAAGCGCGCAGCACCATTCGGCAGGGCCCGGGTTCGAGCCCGTTTTCCGAAAAACATCAAAAAAAGGCAATCCTGCGAGTGTATTTCTGCCTTGAAAATAATACGGTATTCGCATGAGGCGATTTTACAGGCAAATTTTAGTTGAAATCAAAAATCGCCTGGTGTGAACAACCTTTCAACTAATCACTTCCAATGAAGTTGGGGTGCAGCCAATGCAAGTAACCCAAAATTGCAACTAAGCCTGCACCTCGTCCTAATAACTATTTCACTATGGAAATAAAGGATTCAGTTTACTATCTCTCAAAAATAAAAGGACTTTTAGACAGTTTTGAACTTCGAATGATCCTATACATTTTATTCGGATAATTCCATTTCTACAGACAATGGAAACACCCACTTTCACACATTAAACTGATTATTATCTAGATTTCCATACATATGTATATACGCGTCTTTCGGTTAACACCATTTACATATTTGGGATACACCGATAGCGATAAGTTTTTGCATACTACGCAAAAATAAAAATCTTTCTGCAGCAGAGGAAAAACTTTTCCTTTTTGCTTCAACCTAAAGTGCCCAGCCTTTCATTAAGTGTAGATAAGACGACTAAAACTTGAACTCGCTTCACGTAAGAAAATATCTTACTTTGTGTAGTCAGCATCTATGCATACATGGTATTTTCATTCCAAATTTCCATAAACAGCTGCGCTAATAAACGAGACGGTAGTCTCGCCGATCTATTGTCCTTCCATCATTCCATATTTTGGCTAAACGCATATTTAGAAAATTTAGTACCTGCAGCCTGCTGAATGCCAAAGGCTGAGTACACATCCAAAGACGTTCTCAAAACAGCCGCACTGTAATTAACAAAGGACGTTTACCTGCTGAGTTTAGTCGCTAAGCGAGCACCTATATAAGACCGAGGACATGCATAGCGTTAGTTAGTATACTTTGAAAATGCAAAGCGTTTGAAGTGAATTTTTGAGCAGCTGTCAAATTTTAAGGAATTTTTGTTTAAATATTTAACTAACAAAAAAAAAAAAAAATGTTTGGAAGGTTTTTGGGTATGAAGAAGAAGAAAAAGCTACTTAATCCCACTGAATTGGGTGGTAAAAGGAAAAGAAGTAGGCTTAGCTATGATGCATTCGCGGATTATGATGATGATATAATGAAAATGACAACGGTGAGCTTAGTAACTGCTGTATAAATTGATTTGTCGAATTATTTGAAACATAAAACTAATAAGTTAATTATCTTTTGATTTTCTCTCGCAGTTGGATGCATTCTCATGTCCGAAGGTAAAAGCGGAGAAAAACCAAATTGAAGATTATTTAACTACGACGCTTAAGCTACTGGATGAAGCAAAATCTACTTGTACACAACTACAGGATCAGCTATGCGACAAAGAGGGTTATTATCTGCAGCGAGAAGAAGATCTACAGGCGTTGCATCGCTGCGAGATGGAGAAAGGTAATTCGCCACCTACATGCACAGTTTCTCCGCGGAGTGGCTTGCTAAACTTTTCAAATCTTATTTCTCTACAGCACAAGCCAATCTCGCCGATTATCAAGCCTTTGCACAGGAGAAAGTCGCAGCACTCGAATCACAACTGGAGGCAAGAGCTGCGGAACAAAAGCGTACGCTCGACTCGTATCGACTGGAATTGGACAATAAACTGGCACAGAAACAACAGCAACTTGTGGAAGCCGCAGAACGTGAGAAAACATTAAAAGAACGTTTCAGCGCGCTGGAGATTTCCGAGCAAAAATTACGTGATAAGCTGACTAGCACTGAAAATGCATACGCTACGCGCTTACAAGCTGCCGCCGAACGTGAGAATCAGTTGAATGGGCGCATAAAAACGCTAACCAAGGAACTCGAATCGTTACGAACGTCCAAAGAGTATAGGGAGCGCGAGCTGCGCGATAAATTGAATCTATCGCAGGATGAAATTTCAGTCTTGCGTTCATCACAGCGCAGCTTCAACGAGAGCTTGGATCGCAGCAGCGGCATTAGTTCGCCACGCAATTCCAGCGCTTCGGAGCTGGCGCGACTGCAAAGTGAAGCGGATAGTTTACATTGCGTGTTGGAGTTGAAGCAGAAAGAGATATCGAAGTTGGCCAAACAGAATGAGGAGCTGTTGCGCGATGCCGAAGAACGTGCTGTGCTGCAGGGCAGAATATCATTGCTTGAATCAAGCAACGAGATGCTAAAGTCAGAGCTGGAAATTAAATCGGAGAAGGAGAAGTAAGTAGCGCTAAACCAAAAACTGAGGCATACGCAGTCGTTAATTTGAAATAACCTAATTGCTATTTTTTTTCTTTACTTTACAGGGACTTCCTACGCCAACTCGACGACAAGCAAAAGGCTTACAACCACGAAATGGTAAAACGCAAACGCCTTAGCTATGACAACGAGGCCCTACAATGGCAGCTCAAACAGCGCTCCGAACAGCTACATATTGTTGAAACTAAATTACACGAGCTCTCCGCTATGGAATCCAATAACGCCAGTATTCAATCTAGTCTTGGTTCACTGAATCGTTCTCAGCTAATGAACGGCTCCTCGCTGGTCAACATACAAATGGACGACATCTCCCCACCCACATCGCCGATCGTCAAAGGTGTAATTGAGAAACCCGATTCCGTATCGTGGGTGCTTGAAATGGACGATGAAACACCCGAAGCAGCCGCTTCAAAGATGGTAAAACGTGCTGGCTCATTCCGTTCGGTCGAGCGCAGCCCTTCGACGCGCCGTCAATTGTCTGGTTGTGCTAGCGCCATGAACACATCACTGAACTGTGTCGGCAGTGCAGCAACATATAGCAATGGCAATAGCACTGCCGGGCCCAATCCACTCTCGCAGTCAATGTCCGCCACTTCAGTGATACGACCACATTCCAGCGATGTGCGCACCGAGTTCAGTAATCGTTCGCACTCGCGCATACGCTCCAAATCGGTGAGTGTAAAGGGCACCGAACCGGCGCAGTCCAGTGGAAGCGCTCTTAATACCGGCTCTGTAGGCACAAAAAGTGGCAAGAAGCTAATACGTCAAAACGCCAACTCGAGTGCACGTAAGCAGCATCAATTGGAGTTGATCAACTGGAAGGAGCCGATGAGTTCGAGTTCACCGCATCCGAATGCGGTACGACCGCGTACTTCTACGATGTGCTCAGAAGTCGCTGAGGAGCAGCACACACTGGCGGCTGGTGGACATGATGATTCGCTTTTTCAACGCACGTCAGTTTTAAGCACAACCAATCGAAAGCTCATCACGTGCGACACATCAAAATTGAATTCGGGTGAGCGCCTGGATATGCAATCGTTGCCCACACATACATCTGTGCATGATCTGAAGAAGAAATTCCATGAGATACAAGAATCTGCAGGCGAAGCAATGGTATCGGGCACCAACTCCGAGGACGAAGGTTGTTCCGCGTCGTCTGATGAAATTGTTTGCTCAGCCTCTACATCGTCGGCGACTACAGGTTCGACCTCGTCGCTAAAGAATTCACACATGTCGCTGGAAGAAGTGCTGCTATTGGATAAAATCAACAGCCTCAATGGCACACCGATGGAAGTGAGCTGGTCCGATGATCCAGAAGTATTTACTAACGGCTCAACGGTATGACAAGAAGTGCCGGAATTAGAAGAGCAAGATGAGGAAGAAGATAGCTTCTGAACCTAAATGTAAATTTGTGAAATTGCAATTTAGCTGGCGTTCAACATGATTTTACTGGCGAATCGTCTACAGAAAATATGCAACTAAAAAAGGAAAAATTTAATTTTATAAGAAAAGAAAAGCAAACAAAAAAATGTGAAAGCCAATGAGAGGTTGAATAAGTTGCGACTGTTCTACTGCGAAAGCACTTAAACTTCACCCGCTGCCCGCTGAGGCGAGGAGAAGTATAAATGCTTTGTAGGTGGAAGATCGCAACGAACGGAAGAGAACAGGCTGACCAAAATTATGTAATAGATACTATAAGCTGGAATTGGGCGCCATGTGACGCCACTGGTCAGTAAGCAATGCGCTTGAATAAACAAATACTTAAAATTATTTTATTTAATTTATTTAAAAAAAAAAGAGCAAACGTTATCGATTTATTTGTCATTTTGATTGCGTGTGCCACAAAGAGAGTAATAATAATAATAAAAGAGAATCATAATTTCGCATTGTTATGAAATGCTCAGTAAAAACTTAATGGAAATCGGAGTTGTGTGTATATTATGGAAATAAGCAAGTAGGGAAATGTGAAAACTTTTGATCGAAAGCTTGAAGTGGAAGTTGGTTTTCCTGAAGTTTAGATATCGACAGCTTGTATGCAATGCCCTTACCTAGAATAAAAAAAAAATAGATTCTAGTAGAAAGGTACGCCTAAGACTTAACGGTCATCAATGGTTTTAATGCTGACCGAAGTCAGTTAAGTCTCAGATTTGTTATTAAATCAGAAACTATACTTTGTAAAAATTTGCTGATAGAAGGGATTGAGTGAAAGCCTTCGATATATTACAGGTATTTTTCTGTGAAATCTATTATTTTCTCTGCTTCGAAATTATACTTTTTTGAGATTTTAGGAGACAAATTTGTCGCAAAAACAGCATAAGAATTCCTCAAATATGTATGTATGTACTTGGAGGATGCTGCTGTGGGTCTTTGAAAATAAATAAATCTTAGCCATTCTGGCAGCATAGACCAGACTGTCACTCAGATTTGCGCTTTTAAAATTTTGTGTTCTTTAGGTTTGAAGATGGTCGTGCTAAGGCTCTGTAGCGGCAAGTGTAGTCCGGCTCATAAAGGAAATCATCTAAGGCACTTAAATAACTTAAAAACGTTATCTTGAATATTGAAGGAAGAATTTTTCGTAATTTCTATTTAATAAAGCTTAGGCTGATTTTCCTTCAACTTTTTGCAAGCTCTTGCTTGAAAATTGTGCTTTTGAGTTGATATGAGGGTTGCATATAAAACTTTTGGTCAAGCATCTGCCAAATATGTGCTTTCCAGTCTTCGGCGCTTAAGTTTTCAGAGAAAAATGTATAAGTGAACTAAACGAGTAGGCGTAAGTATCGTCTTCTTGGAAAAAAAAAAAAATTTATAAATGTTAATGCGAGGGTAGGAACTTAGAAACCATATTTTAAATTTCTTTTAGTAACTTCTCAATTTGTCTAAATTCAAGAGAGGGTGGTAATTCAAAAGTTACAAAAAAGTTGTCGCTGGCCTAGAAAGCTTTCGCGCGATGCATTATAGATTTTTCGAACAAAATTGTAGAACCACAACAAATACAAGAGCTGCTCAACAACGTAAAAATGCAAATATGTGCATAATTTAAAATGGAATCGGCCCGTCTAATTCAATCTCAACTAGAAACTTTAGCGCCCGCAATGAAAGTCCATTAATAATACGGAACCTGAATAACGAGATCTTAATAAATATACATATGTATGAATAAATGTAGGCATGTGTATAGCATCAACGGATAACTGAAAGTATTTATGCAATGTGTTTTACTGTGTGAAAACACTACATACATACATTTTCAAAGACCAAGTGTGCCCAAGGCGTACGAAAAGCAAGTAAAAAAAGCAAATGAAAAATAATATTTTAGCTTTAAAAAAGTTTATAATTTTTAATTTATTTCATGTTTATTGTATTTATTTAGTTTTAGTAAAAAATGTGTACCTAAATATTAAGCTTATAATGAATGTATTGTATAGTATTTAAATACCTTAAATTTTAAGTTCATTGATTTGTCAGTCAGCGTGCCGGTCAGTCAGTCAATTGTGTCGCGTTAAGCTGAGTTGCTTTGTTTAATTATATATCCAAGAATGTGCATTACAGTTACAAAAAAAAAAGGAGAAAAGAAACCAATATTAATTGTTTATTTGTTTTAACGGGTGATTTTTTTGAGGTTAGGATTTTCATGCATTAGTATTTGACAGATCACGTGGGATTTCAGACATGGTGTCAAAGAGAAAGATGCTCAGTATGCTTTGACATTTCATCATGAATAGACTTACTAACGAGCAACGCTTGCAAATCATTGAATTTTATTACCAAAATCAGTGTTCGGTTCGAAATGTGTTTCGCGCTTTACGTCCGATTTATGGTCTACATAATCGACCAAGTGAGCAAACAATTAATGCGATTGTGACCAAGTTTCGCACTCAGTTTACTTTATTGGACATTAAACCAACCACACCAATGCGTACAGTGCGTACAGAAGAGAATATTGCGTCTGTTTCTGAGAGTGTTGCTGAAGACCGTGAAATGTCGATTCGTCGCCGTTCGCAGCAATTGGGTTTGTGTTATTCGACCACATGGAAGATTTTACGCAAAGATCTTGGTGTAAAACCGTATAAAATACAGCTCGTGCAAGAACTGAAGCCGAACGATCTGCCACAACGTCGAATTTTCAGTGAATGGGCCCTAGAAAAGTTGGCAGAAAATCCGCTTTTTTATCGACAAATTTTGTTCAGCGATGAGGCTCATTTCTGGTTGAATGGCTTCGTAAATAAGCAAAATCATGCGATTTGACGCCTTTAGACTATTTTTTGTGGGGCTACGTCAAGTCTAAAGTCTACAGAAATAAGCCAGCAACTATTCCAGCTTTGGAAGACAACATTTCCGAAGAAATTCGGGCTATTCCGGCCGAAATGCTCGAAAAAGTTGCCCAAAATTGGACTTTCCGAATGGACCACCTAAGACGCAGCCGCGGTCAACATTTAAATGAAATTATCTTCAAAAAGTAAATGTCATGGACCAATCTAACGTTTCAAATAAAGAACCGATGAGATTTTGCAAATTTTATGCGTTTTTTTAAAAAAAAAAGTTATCAAGCTCTTAAAAAATCACCCGTTATAACTATACTTATGTCTGTACTATGTATGTAGGCTTACTTGAATGCATGAAGTATGTTAAAAAAAATTTAAAATATGTGTGTTAGCAATTATTACAAATTATTAAAAAAAAATATGATAACTAAAGTCCCCAATATAAATAATAAATACATAATGCATAGTTTAACATGCTCTTCAACTCCTTGTTTTCAAAGTACCCCAAAAGTGGAAAACAAACAAAAAAAGTAACTTATGTACGCAAAAAATATAAATAAAAGCAACAGTGAAAAAATAAATATTCAATATATAAGTAAGTAATTGAAAGCGTCACAGTAAGAGAAAAAAAACGAGTTAAAAATTTGCAAACTCAATATTTAAAAAAAAAAAATGAGTTACACAAGCCCACAAGAGGAAAAGTAATCGCTGATTGTATGCATACGAAGTTGATTAAATTGCAAAAATTAAAATCATAAAACTTTTGAAGCATGGAAATTGTAAAATCTTGTAAGCCCGCTTTTGGCAAACGATAATTTCGATTGCCATTGTGGCGTATATATTTTCAAGCGAATGGAATGTCTGATAAGCATGAGGATAATTTTTGGGTTGGGATCATTGCATGGAGCGCAAATGCTGGAAAATTAAAAAAGTATATAAATAAATATAATTACATGAACTGGATTGTTTCAAATTAATTAAATTTGTTTTGGTGTTAGTATTTATTTATTATGGACGTAGAATCAAAGAAAGAAAGGTACAGTAATAAACAGCGCACGCATTTTGATGATCAAAAAACTCTCTGAAGAAAAAAATGCTATATGTACATATATATTTATCCAAGAAAATGTATTGCACCAAAAAATCGTACCACTTTATGTAACCAAAATTTTATGTACAGTGGTAACGCTGTCAAAATTTATTCAGCAATTCAGCTATGGATTACTGCTATTGCATATTTTATGCGGCACTATCTTGTTGCGAGCTCATGAGGTGGTAATAAAATTTACCGGTTACTAGAGAGCACAGAATGTGGAAAGGGTTTAAAAAATTCGAGAAATTTTATGTACATATGTATGAAATGTTTATTACCAATGCAGAATAGATAATGGTCATTCCAAAAACACGAAAAATTCAAACGTGTGCCAGTACTTTGAGTAAAGGAATTACAACTAGGGACTCGATATCGAACCAAGAGTATGAATATGATACTCATTTAAAGTTTCGCTGTAAAAATATCGGGTACCTATCAATATGGGAATAAAAAGACTTGATATCCCAAATATTGATACCGAAATCCAAAAAAGTTTCTCTGAATATTGGTATCGTATGCAGGCCGCTGTGGTGTAGTGATTAGACTTGCGCAAATCTCTGAGTGTATTTCTGCCATAAAAAACAGGTTCTCATAAAAATGTAATCGCCGTTCAGAGTCGGCATAAAACTGTAGAGAACCCGTTTGTGGCACAATGTCAAAGCGCACGCCACAAATTGGAGGGGAAGCTCGGCCAAAAACTAACATATTGTGTAAGCAACAATCTATTATTAGTTTTACACATAGAGATTAAGGTGTTGACTTAAAATCGAATCCTGATGGTAGTACAAATTTCAGCTCTTTAAAGCCCAATTTATATCGGGACGAATTGTTCAATGGGTTCGTATACGTGATTAAGTGGAACCACTCTTTGTTTTAAGCTGAATAACGGGAAATTGCAAATATCTCAAAAACGTATCCACAGAAAAAAAATTAACTTCGTTTTCGCAATAACCGAGCGATTCGACATAGTAATTGGACAGTGGCGTCTGGAGAACAAAAATAAAACTAAAATTTTTGATCCAGTGCAATGACTTCAAGGTAATCAAGTTTTTTGGAGTTTAATTTTAATTAAAAAGGTCACAACAACTATAATTACATAAACAAATTAAACTAGTATTTAGAAGAACAAAAAAAAATATGCAAAAAAAAATTCCTGGCAGTGGGATTCGAACCCACGACTTCCCGGCTTGCTAAATCCGCAATCCTGCAGTGGACACAGGGTGAACTAATTAAAGTACTAAAATTTCTTTGCATTGCCGAGTAAATTTTTTCTCTTCATATGGATTGCTGTGCTCTGTTTCATCTTAACCAAAAGCTGTTTCTAAGATGTCTATGGCTGAAACAACTTAAAAATCTATTCTAAAATTAAAACTTTATTTTAACAGCTATGAGTTTTAACTTACGACTATGATTATGGGCCACTAGTTACACTGTTTGTAAAAATTTCGAGCTTTTTAATTAGATTTCACCGAAAGATTTTGAGTATGCAGTTTTGTAGCCCATTTAAATTTAGCAGAATAAAATGCACGTTTAAAGTAGCTGGGACTCACGGCTGAATTTTGGATTTTTTGTTTTTGTTGAAAGTATTGCTCATTTTCTTCATATCATCGAACAAAAAAAAAAATTCAAAAATCAACGGTGGGGCCTAGCTACTTCTAACTTGCACTTTGTGACACTAAAATTGAATTGCCTATAAAACTGCATACTCAAAATTTTTCAAAGAAATTAATAATTTCGAAATTTACAAGATGCCTCACTGTATCCGCCATTTTGAATTTTGAAATTCTGACAGCGGATTCATAATTAGCGACCTCGAACACCCCCTAGTATGAAATTTCGAATCATTTTTTTTAAAGATTTTAATTTTGGTATCACTTTTGGATTTTGGATAGTAAAATTCCGATAATAATTTAATTTTAGATGTAACCAGTTGCATGCATAAGCATAAATTAGTAGACATTCATTTTAAGGAAACCAGTAAAACATAGCTCGAATTTAAAACAACATTTTAACCCAGTTCGTGCTTGCTTATGATAAGTAGCTAATTTTGAAGAACATTCAAAGAATAATAGGCAAGCCATAAACTAAAAATATGTACATATATGAATGTTCATATTTACATATACATACATACAGTGACTAAAACAAATGACCACATGTTGTTTTTTTCTAATATTTGCAAAGTTTTTCCAGCTAAATTTTTTTTTGTTATTTTTCTATAAAAATACCGTCTAAGTTTTAACCAAAAAAATTAAATCACAGTTTCAATCTTTATACAAAATTTAGGAAAATTTAACAAATTTTCAACTTTTTAATCTGAATCTTTAGAATATTTTAGGGTATGCAGTTTTATAGCCCATACAAGTTTAGTCTAAGAAAGTGCAAGTTTCATACGGCCAAAAAAATCCGTTGATTTTTGAGAATTTTGAGAATTTTTTTGGTGATGGATGTTTGCACTTTTTTTCATATAAGCATGAATTTCTTATGCAATAAATGCGCGAGACCGCTAGCAACAAATGTAAAAAAAAAATCAACGCAGGTTTTTGTAAATTGCACTTATACAAAAAAAAAAAACGCAAAAGCAGTCTCAAAAAAAATTCTCAAAAATCAACGCCGGTTGAAACTTTCACTTAATTAGACCAAACTTGTAAGGGCTATAAAACTGCATATTAAAAAATGTTCTAAATATTCAGATTAAAAAGTTGAAACTTTGATGAAAATGTGTTGAATTTTCCAAAATTTTGTATTAAGTTTGAAACTGCGATTTACATGGTTTTGGTTAAAGCTTAGATGGTATTGTTGGGCAGTACCGATACTAAAAGTATTCAGAACTCGATTCTCAAAAGGATCGACAGCACCCGATTTTTAAAAGTATCGATACAGAGTAGTCCAAAGAGCCCAGTAACTCGAAAAGAACTCGAAAGTACTCAGTACTCAAAAAGGGAAAGTACTCAGAACTTAAAAGAACTCGAACTCAGTATTCAAAAATACTCTGTTCCAATTATTGACTTAAAAAGTACTGAGTTTTACTCACACTTACCGGTATTCAGAAAAGATTGTACCATGATAAAAATATAGTAAGGTAGAACCGCTGAGAGGCACTTTTAAAATTCTTGACGTTTCCAAACAACTTAATTTTTAAATTTACTCACAAACTCACACACACAATTTCATTTTCAATCTCAAGCAACAACAATTTCAATTTTTTATTTTCACTTTTATATGATTTTAAAATGTTGGCAAACTTCAAAAAAAAATCATGGCCGACAAATTGAGAGAACGGTTATACCTTGCTATGCTTTTATCATGGATTGTACTCAATTTGCAGTTTCATTAATTTTCAAGTACAACACTTGTATCCAGTTAGCAATTCATTTGACGTAATTTGGGACTCATAAATTTTTTTTAATAAAATACTGCCAGCTTATGAGATTTCAACACTGAGTATTGAAATGTTACCAACATGTGTATATTTAACACCCAACACTAGCATTTCTTTAGAAAAATAACAAAAAAATGTTCTCGAAAAATATTACGAATATTAAAAAAAAAAGATGTGGTCATTTGTTTCAGTCACTGTATGTACTTAGTCACTTATATTTACAAGTAAAGATACAACAGCATTTACATTTCGCTAATTCGCCGAGATAAATTCAGTAGCTATATATTTACTAAGGCAATATATAAGTGTCACTAAGCTAATAGAGATCCAGATAGTAATCGAGTCGCATTGACTACACTTCTCAAGTATTTCTCAAGAATGGCCGAAAAGTTTTTTCCATGCGCTTTAGGTGAGTAAGGACAATTTTTGCAGGGCAGCGTTAATTTAACAATGTACATATGTATGTATTAACAAAAATATGTAATACTTATAAAATAAAACAACACAAATTAAAAAATAAACTTTACTCAATGGTACTTTATTTTTGATTTCAGCTACAGCTTTGGTGTTATTTTCGTTAGGATTTGCAGACTCGTTTATATTCACAAAACTGTTGACCAACATATTTAACCAAAAGTTATCTGCACTAAGCAATATTGGACTATTTGCACCAATTACAACTACGCCTCCAAATTATGTAGTAGGTCCTGCAAGTTCTGTGCTACAGCCTGGAGAAATGTCTACAGAGAATCCTGCACAAGGAGCTGGAGGAAGTCCCACAACGGAGAACAATGGTGGAACCTCTCCTCCATCAAACGGTCCACCAGCCGCTTTAACAAATATGCCACAGCCTGGTCCAACGAACGCTCCACCATCTGATGCACCAAACGCTCCACCGCCTGGCCCAACGGGAGCTCCTTCGCCCGCACCAGCAAATGCTCCACCCCCTGGTCCAGCAGATGTTCCTCCGCCTGATCCAATGGAGGCAGCGCCACCTGGTCCAACGAACGCTCTACCATCTGATGCACCAAACGCTCCACCGCCTTCCCCAATGGACACTCCTCCGTCCGGTGCAGCAATTGCACCACCTCCTGGTCCAGCAGACGCTCCCCCGCCTGATCCAATGGAGGCAGCACCCCCTGGTCCAACGAACGCTCTACCATCTGATACACCAAACGCTCCACCGCCTTCCTTATTGGACGCTCCTCTGTCCGGTGCAGCAAATGCTCCACTTCCTGGTCCAGCAGATGCTCCCCCGCCTGATCCAATGGAGGCAGCACCACCTGGTCCAATAGACGCACCACCCGCATATAAATAGGCAGTCCTAATAAAAAATACATACATATATTGCTGTAAATCGGGAAAAGTATATAATAAATAAATTACTATGTTTAACAAATTGAATTCAATGTGTGCATTAGTTATTACCAGGGCCGAAGAAAATAAGCACGAAAAAAGTACAGCTTAATGTTTTGTTTTTTAATTCAGTTTATTTTAAGTATTTAAAAATTCGAATGGACATACAAGCCTTGCGTGATATTCTCGAATAATGAAGATCTGCGTGGGTCACCGAAATTGCGCATAAGGAAACTTTCAACCGAAACTGTGCATGTATGCTTTATTTCGGTTTTTTCATATGCATTATTTCGCTTTTAAAACGAAACTGTGCTTATGGATAATTTCCCTAAGAGCGACCGAAGGCCGCCTACGCAAAAAGAAGTGCTGCGCAAAAATACTTCCGCATATGCATTAAATATTTCGTATGCACAATTTCAGGGTGCCGATCTGCGTTGGTCGTTTAAATTTTTTTAAATATTCGTTATTCTCCATTTTGGATAAATTATGTAAATCTGTTCAACAACAATTTTTGTATCCAACCAGATGTGCAATTGAAGTTACGGGTGAAGAAAAACCAAATCTGTTTTTATGTTATTATTTGTAAACATTTCTTTAATTCGACGAATAAAAGTAAAGCCCAATAAATGGTCAAGAAAAATTTATTTATCCAAATTTTCTTAAGCAGTACGAAGTTCTTAAGAAATTGTCTACACTTTCTACTATGGTTTGCTAAATTTTGATTGTAAAGAATAAAAGGCATCCTTGTTTTCAACAGAAATATATGCCCGTTCCATTATTTCGTAAGGAAAAAGTGAGACGGCAATAATAGCAATTTACTGCTTGACCGTTTACTTAAAAGGTCTGTACTTAGCTTTATACACTGAAAAAAAACAAAACAAGCATGATCATTAAAATTAATCTTGGAAACCCTGATTAAGCGAAATAAGCAATTTCAAGCAAAAGCATAAACTTTTCGGCCCTGGTTATTGTCATATATTTATAAAAAGTAGTGAACCCGCATGGCGTTAAGACGACAAAATTGAATTTAACTTTTTAAACAGGTGGAAACTCTAATCAAAATCCTTTATAACTATTCCAAATGTGTTAACTATGGGCCGGTTTATGCACCTCTAGTTAGTTTGATGATGTGTCAATTATGCAGTGGCCGTAAAAGTGCGTACAAGGAAGGACATATATTTTTTGTTTAAACTTTGCAGCAACGATGTGCCCTCTTTGTTGTCGGAAGGTCAGGAAAGCTTGTTCTATCGTTCCTTGGCTACAAGAGTGGTATGATCTCTATCAAAAAATGGTATCTAAACAAGTAAGAAAGTCTAAGTTCGGGCGGAGCCGAACATTAAATACCCGGCGCAAGTATTAAATATATGTTTTTTCACCCTTCCGAAACCTTCCGCTAGATGGTAAGCCGAGGTGTATCAATTTTGAGTAAATTAGCGTCCTTCAATTTCGAAATATTGAAGTTTCAAGCATTTCTTAAATTTACCGTTATATGAGAATCGGCCGTTATTTTAGTCCGATCTCAATAATTTTCAAAGTTTTGCTTACACGTGGCAAGTACAATAACCATACCGAGTTTGGTACAAATTGGTAGAACGGTTACCGATATACTTATATGTGATCATAAGTGGGCGGTGCCACGCCCATTTTCCAAAATTTTACCATAAACGTATTTCTTGGTAAAGAATTGTTGCAAGCATCAATTTTGAATAAATTAGCTTCAATATTTAATGATTTATCGAAGATTTTGTATTTCTCTAAATTACCGTTATATGGGATGTGGGTGTGGTAATTGTCCGATTTTAAAAAGTTTCGGCGGTTTTTTATGCTGTACCAAGGCCAACAACTGTGCCAAGTTTGGAAGAAATTGGTGCAGCGGTTACCAAGATATATACATGTAACTATAAGTGGGCGTGGCTACGCCCATTTTCCAAAAATTTATAATATTCTTATTTTTCGTCTAAAACTTATTATAAATATCAATTTTGAGTGAATAATCTCCAGTAGTTACTAAAATATCGCAGTTTTCGTATTTCTGAAAATTACCGTTATATGGGAAGTAGGCGTTGTTATTGAGCGATTTTAAAAATTTTCAGCCATTTGGTATGTTATGCGAAGGCCAACAACTGTGCCAAGTTTGGAAGAAATTGGAGCAGCGGTTACCAAGATATACGCATGTAACCATAAGTGGGCGTGGCTACGCCCATTTTCCAAAAATCTATAATATTCTTATTTTTCGTCTAAAACTCATTGTAAATATCAATTTTGAGTGAATTATCTTTAGTAGTTACTAAAATATCGCAGTTTTCGTATTTCTGGAAATTACCGGTATATGGGAAGTGGGCGTGGTTAAAGTCCGATTTCGCCCATTTTCAATACCAACCTACCTTGGATTAAGGGAAACCTACATACCAAATTTCGTTGAGATATCTCAATTTTTGCTCGAGTTATCGTGTACACGGTCGGACGGACAGACGGACAGACGGACGGACAGACAGACATGGCTTAATCGATTTCTTTTTTCATCCTGATCATTTATGTATACATTTGTCTATATCTATCTCGATTCGTTTTGGCTGTTACAAACAACCGTTATGTGAACAAAATTAATATACCCTTGTGCACAAGTGCGCTCGGGTATAAAAATGATCATTGGTACACCTTATCTACTCTTTTGCAGCAGAACTTGGATGGTAGTGTGTTTATTTTCCCAACCAATCCTATTTATCTCGGTGTTCGGACACCCATAAGAGTTGAATCTATAACACTAGGGCATCTTGTTCTATGATCGGCAGTATCTAGTAATGAACTCGGCAGTGCATAAATATGACTGGATAAGAAAATATAGGTTGTTGAGCAAGCTACTGAAGGGCCTACCTTAGTTTCGGTAGGTCCATGAGAAAGCATTTAGATCAATAGGAAGTAGATATCTTCAAAAGAGGCACAACGAAAAAAAATAAATAAAAAATTGGATAGATTTTTTTTTGCATGAACCAATTCGTAGGATTTATCTCCAATTAATTCAAATTTTGTCGCGATTATATTCACTTACTAGAAAACTATTATTATTCATCTTCTAGTAACAATTGAGTTGAATCGGTAGCATCCATAAGCAATTATATTTTTGGTTCTGATTTTTCAGTTATGCCTCTTTTGAATATGGCGGGAAATATGTAGATGCAATATCGCATTTAAAACATCTGTGGGCATGGAGAAAATGCACAACTGTAACGATTCCACTCCACACGATTTGTATCCCTTACATATATCCCTTAGCACTGTTAATTTCATGATTGTAGGCCATGGTACAATAATTACAGGTATTGTCTTCCCAGAGAGTTTTGCTTCACATCGAAATTCGTGCTCCCTTATTTTCATTTTGACTTAGCTCAATGTTGATTCTTTTACTTTTATTTGGCTTTGCTTTTTGTTTTCGCTCAATTTAATTTTTATAAATTTTCAAAACAAAAGAAAAATCGTTTGAAATTAAGTGAGCCATACAAATTTTGAATTTATTAACAAGCAAATATTTTTTCGGCTTTTACAAAATTAAATAAGTTCTCTGCAAGATGGTTTGTTTAAAGAAACACGTGTAAATATATGGTATATGGGGTAACGAAATATCCCTTTTCCTTAGCAGTAAACCTTTCAGTGTTGTTGACTTTTTTGGCTATATTTTTTTCAAATATGTATGTACATATGTATATTAGTAATAAGTAATATTACTTGTACATACATATGTATTAGTGTTCATACATAATTTCTTCTTACAGCGCTTTTATTTTTTCTTCTTATTTGGCGTTGTAACCGGCCTAGCGATTTTGGCTGAGTTCATTAAAGCACGCTACTCGTTTCTAACATAATTCGTAATTTTTGCCCTCAATAATAACAAATTCCGAGCTTTTGTTTGAAATTTTTAAACACGAATGTAACTAAGCATAATTATGGACTTAACATAATTCCCTAATATTGATAAGATCACTTTACGTCTATACTTCTCACATATTCATATCTAAACTGGAACCTAAGCAGAGAGAGTATGCATAAATATTTAGTTTGAGTTTTTATGCAAAGCTAACACTGTAAACACTTGTCACCTGGCTAGAAGCCAGTGATCGGACTTCTACCACATTGTGGTAGATCTGCCACTTTTTTGAGCATCTACCACATCTAACACACAAGGTCTCAATCTACCACATATTCGCATTTTTGAGTAGTTTTATTTTTGCTCGACATAATTTTCTTAAATTTAAGAGCAAAAGATGTCCAACACTAAACACTGACAACACGAAGAATGGGAGGATAAAATAAACATTAAAATAGTAAATTTGCTCTATATTCAATTTTTCGAGAGGAAACATGGATTTATTGTGTTAAATTGCAAAATGTATGATTTAAAAACAGGGACCACAAATAACGATTATCCTTTGAAATTTCAACTCAAAAAATCACGCGGAAGGAGAAATGCTACGTGCATAAGGAGTAAACAAATATATTTCTTATTACTCGGAGTACCTTCAGCGGCACTGATTTTTATTTTTTAATTGTTACTTATAAAAATCAAGTTTAATCATTATATTTTAAGTTTTATTTTTTACTCAGAAAATAATCGCTATGTTTTGAGTTTTATTTTTTGCTCGGAAAATAATCGTTACGTTTTAAGTTTTATTTTTTTCTCAGAAAATAATCGTTACGTTTTAAGTTTTATTTTTTGCTCGGAAAATAAAACTTAATTTTTGCGTATACGCATGCGCATGCGTGAATAGACAGGGGGCGGCTGCATTGAACCTTTAACGCCACTGTGGAGTGGGTAATGAAAATACAGATACCAGGGCAGAAACAATGAGAACCACATTTCTAAAGAAAAAGTGCAAAAAAGCGCATAAGCATACGCAAAAATTAAGTTTTATTTTCTGAGCAAAAAATAAAACTCAAGAAATAACGATTATTTTCCGAGCAAAAAATAAAACTTAAAACGTAACTATTATTTTCCGAGCAAAAAATAAAACTTAAAACGTAACCATTACTTTCCGAGCAAAAAATAAAACTCAGTTAATAACGATTAAAAAGTGATTTTTATAATAAAACTTATAACCGTTACGGTCCCTGTTTAAAAACAAAATAATTAATAGCGAAATGTTAAAAAATTAGATTTTTGTGAAAGTATTAGCAAATTTCAGTGCATCTAAAGTTTCTAAAGCGTTGTTTACTTTTACTTGGGAATTGTCAAAATCGGCAAATCCCAAGCAGCAGTTTCTGGAACGTGCGACATTTGTTCGCTACATCGTGATGTGATAAAAAGAAAAACTGGCAGCACTCCGCAAGGTTGCAGAAATCTTTCAAAACATGTTCGAAAAATATCTTGATAAGGAAGGAACTGCTTTACACGTTCAAGGAAAAAAAAATGCCAAAACTCAATGCAATTTCAATCTTGCACTTTATTATACTAAAATTTATTTTTTTTTAAGATTCTAATTAAAATGATTGCAATTTATGTGAAACCTTACAGATTTTTTTTAGTTTTTCTACAAATTTTGATCCAAAACCTGAGGTCTACCACATTTTTTTGAAATCTACCACATTTTTTTCCAGATTCTACCACACAATTTTTTTTGTTTTAGCCAGATCTAGAGGCGCCTTGCGACTCGCAGTTGATGTTGTTCATATCGATTCACTGATTCCCACGTTGATTAGTCCTTTGAGTGTGCTGAGCTTAGCCAGCGCGGACCTAAATTTTGCTGCTTTCTTTCACTAAACTTCTTAGAGTTTAGCCCATTTTTTCTACACTCATTGGTGACTCTGTTCAGCGCATTTTTCGGGAGGTCGCCTCTGTTTGCGATAACAAATCATCCACCATGTGGTACACATTTTTTGGCTTCCTTTTCTCCCTATTCACCGAACGCAGTTGCCTATAAGAGAGTATTGCGTGCTATAGAAAGCCTATCTACGTACAGGTAGCAACCTACGGCTACCTCTTTGTTCCTCCAGAGGACTTTTAAATTTTCCTTGTGGAGAAACGTGGGCGGTAGAAAGATAGGCACATCGACGTTTATCCCAGAGGTTCTCAGAAGAAAACTAACTCTAGTATACTTGTTTATGATTATTTCAATGGGCCTCAGCAGGAAAGGCGGAACGCTTTTGGATCGGTATGATCGGTATTATCGACAGGTTGGTCAGTCACTTCTTGCGGTAGGGGTCCCCAAACATACTCTGACCCTTTGGAGATGAATTGGGAAGATTCCATCCGCTCCAGGTACTTTGAAAGGCGACCAGGCGGATATAGCCCAATACCGCTTCTAATGATTCCCCAATCCCTTTCGCAGGCACGAAGCAAAGTGCTGAGTGAATACAAATAAAATCTTTTCCGTTAGTAATTTTTTCACATTAAAAATAAAATTTATCAAAAAAACATTTTTACATGCAATATAAAATTCTACACTCATAACAACTAATAAATGCATGCATTTTTCGCTGCAGCCAGTTTTTAATTCATATCTTCGATACTAATTTTGTTCTGTACTCCTTTTCGTACAATTCGGCGAGCTTGAATTTCTGTATTTTACCCGATGTAGTTTTCGGAAAATTCTTAATTTGTATCACATAACGTGGTATCTTAAAGTGTGCCAACTTTCCTTTAGCGAATGCCTTAATGTCCTCACGTGATACCTTCGCAGAGCTATCATCCAATCGTACAAAGGCGCACAGTTCCTCACCGAAACGTTCACATGGAACACCAATCACCTGGAAATGGATTGATATTGAGTCAAGGAAAATGAGAACAAATTCACATATACAACTAGGCATAGCCACATACATGAGTTTCACAAATTTGCGGATGTGTGTTTAGAAAATCCTCAATTTCTTTCGGAAATAAATTTTCTCCTCCACGTATGATCATCTCTTTCAGGCGTCCCACAATGCGACCATAACCATCCTCTTGCAGAATAAATTGATCGCTGCAAGAGAATTTTTGAAAATAAAGCCGATTTTTTCAGCGCAACCATGAACCACTTACCCAGTTCTCAGCCATTTGTCACGTCCGATGGTCTCTTTCGTTTTCGCCTCATCATCATAGTAGCCCAGCATTGTAGCATAACCACGCACGCAAAGTTCTCCACGCTCGCCGAAGGACACGGTTTTACCTTCAGCATCGATCACCTTGGCTTCAACATGATCCTGCAAATGACCTACGGTATTTAAAATTTGCTCCATACTATCACCAGGACGCGATTGAAAAATCACTGCTGTGCTTTCAGTCATACCGAAAACGGTACGCACGTGTTCCAAACCAAGCACATTCTTAATGTCGAGGAAGAGTTGTGGCGAGCATGGCGCTCCGCCGGTAACAGCCATTTTTGCGGTCTTCAATGGCAACTGCAACTCTCTCTGCTTCTTGATGAGATCCACATACATTGTGGGTGTGCCATGGATAACTGTGCATTTTTCGTCAACAATGGCGCGTAACGAGTCGGCTGGACTAAAACCGGCTGCTGGTAGAACCAAAGTGCTGCCATGAGTCATAGCGGCCATTATTGTGATGACCACTCCGTACGCATGGAAAAGTGGAACCTGTACGCAGATGCGTGATGTGCTGTTCAGTTCATTACGATTACCTATGTGTATGCCGTTGTTCACGAAGTTGTAATGCGAAACTACTGCTGCCTTTGGCTGACCAGTTGTGCCAGAGGTAAACTGGATGTTGCACCCGCTATCAGGTACGATATGGCGTTGTAGCTTTGTGATAAACTCGCGCTCGGCTAGACTACTCAGGCCGAGTAATTCGTCATAGCTTAGCGCGCCTTTCAAAGTGCTGCCTGTGTCGACGATGACACGCTTTAGGTGAGGCAAGCTGGCGCTATTGATGCTTCCATCAACACTGTCTGGCAACTCTGGGCAAATACTTTTCATAATCTCATAGAAATTTTGAGTTTTAAATGTTTCAGGCATTATCACCGCTTTCACTTTAACCTTTTTTAAGCAGTAGTCGACTTCGGGACCTTGAAATGCTGGATTTATGCCCACCTGAATACATAATTAAAAGTTGAAAATATTTCAGTGGATTTATAGACTCTAGTGAGTTCTTCACCTACCGACACCAATCCGGCGCGTGCTACACCCAACATCGTCAGATACCAGTGTGCGTTATTTGGCGTCCAAATACCAACATGGTCGCCTTGTTTCAAGCCAAGCTTCAGCAAGCCGGCAGCAACACGATCGGCTTCCTCGAGGAGCCCGCGATAAGTATATCGCTTCTTTTCGTGACATGAAACAATGGATTCCGTATTGCCATATTCAGCAGCGGCACGTTCCAGCTCCTGGCCAATACTCCGATAGACTAATGGAGTCCTGCCGATAAAGTGCAGATGAGCAGGATGAAAGTTATGCGATTTGACGGCCGCTGGAGCTTGCGCAGATAAACTGAAATGAGACATTTAGGTAGAAAAGTAAACATTAAAGGCTAGGCACACATGCAAAAGCAAGTCAAAATATACATACATATGTACATATGTACATAAATACAGCCTGGTAAATATGTGCATATATATAACTTGCTGATATTGCTTTAATATTTAACATAAAATCCTAAAAGGATAATCCGGTGTGGCAGTGGATTGAATCAGGCAGCAGTGGTCTTGATGGAAGAATTGCCAGCGAAGTCTTCTGCTTTGAGCTCTCCATCAACATCGAGCTTAGCCTTCCATACTTCTGTATGAGTTTTCAGGCAGAAGAGGCTGCCATTAAGGAAGTAGTAGACACAAGGGTTAATATGACGTCAATTGCGTCGGAACATCTTCTTCTTGCCACAACCAGGTAAAATCAGCTATGTAAACCCTAAAGATAATAGGCATATTAGCCTAACATCCTTTCTACTGAAGACTCTAGAACGACTTATAAAAAGCTTAAAGCTTAAAAGCTTAAAATAGCTCGGCAATAACTTAAAAATGTAAAAAGAGACATACGAACTGTATGACTTAGTTACCCGGAAGTTTTTGCATATAAATTATCGGGTGTTGACACAAAGGTTAAGGGACAATTGCTGTGGGAATTATTTTTGATTTATTTAATAGTTTTGTATTTCATGTATGTGTATGTACTTATTGATAATAAAAGTTGCGTTTGGCCACATACTTATTAACATCCAACTGATAAGAATATATTTATGAATGAGGGTGCTTATTTTTAGGAAGCACACATATGTATGTACATAGTGATTAATGATTTGAATAGTTTTTCCCACGTATGTGTGATTGTATGCATTTACGTACAGTGAGCATCAAAAGTAAGTATACCCTGATGTTTTGACGATTTTATTTATTTACAATTTCCATACCAAATTGTTCTTATTTTTATAAAAATACATATACATATAGTTTTTATTAGCAAATACCACAAGAATAAATTTTTTCTAATTTCGTACAGAGTTCGGGCAAATGCAAGACATTTTCAGCTTTTCAATCCAATTTCTATATTATAATCTATAGTAAGTATTTGTAATGAAAAATGACGCGATTTTGGATTCCAAATTTTCGCCCGCGGCGCCTTTTTTTAACAAATTAATAAGCAGTTGCATGTATCCAAATAGTGAAACCATTACCATTATGATTATAATAATTGTAATCTTAAAAATTTAAGGACTAAGATTACTGTATTACTGATTATCATAAAAAACATGATTACGAATACCGTAACTGTAATCCTAATATGTATATTTAAGACTACAATTACTACAATTACATTAATTTTAATCCTGAAAATTACGATTACGAATATGTACTTTAATTGTAAGCCTAAAGATATTATTATTACAATTAATATAATCGTAATCTAGAAAATATGCTGGTGGCGTCTGTTCACCAGCAGGTGGGGCTGCCTAAAAAATCGGCTAAAATCGCCTAGGCGGTTACAGTGCCAATAAGAAGAAGAAGAAACCCCTAATTTCAAAAAATACTGCAAAAAAAAACATCGATATCAAATTAAATTAAATTTGTCTCATAGCGGCGTCGTTTTCACAAAGAGTACTTGCTGACGTTAGAACTTGGGACTGGGACTTAACTGTCATTCCAACTTTGCAATTTTATAGTAACCCAGAGGGAAAAGTAGTAATGCATTACATGGGTGATAAATAATGTAATATATTTCTTATGAGTTCTAGATTCTATTACTGTTTAATATGTAATCAGCACTCGCAAAAAATTCACGTTAAATCGTATTCATTGCCCCACTTTTCCTAGAACATCGCCGTGGGAAAAATAATGCATTTTCGACTGTGAAAACGGCTGTTTTACTGATTTTTTTTTGATTACTATACATTACATTTTCCCAAGTTCAATAGTAACATCATCGACGACAGTCAAGCCTTAGGCGGAGGTTTAAAAGAGTATTGCTGCACATAGTGTCACTATTTTTGCTGTCGCTTGTTTGGTTTTGCCGATCCCAAAAATTTGAAAAGAGCATTGGATTCTTCATAAATGGGTCTATAGCTGAGATTTTTTTTCTGAGACGGAAAAGACAATTTTTTATAACATCAAAAAAGCAAATGGGTTTTCTTATATCAAGTATTAAAGGTATTACTGAATAATATTAGAAATTGTATTATCTTATAAATTATACGTCGTAATGCTTTTTAAATCACTAAAATAGGAGCAGCGGTTATCGTGCTATTCAAATTTGAACGAAGGGGCTACACAAAACTTTCGAAAAACTTTAGTATAAAAAAACTTCACTTCCATATACAGGAAATGTAATAAAACGTTGGACATATTTATATATAAAACAAGTAAGAAAGTCTAAGTTCGGGCGGGGCCGAACATTAAATACCCGGCGCAAGTATTACATATATGCCTTTTCACCTTTCCGAAAGCTACAGCTACATGGTAAGCCGGGGTGTATCAATTTTGAATAAATTAGCGTCCTTAAATTTCAAAATATTGACGTTTCGAGCATTTCTAAAATTTACCGTTATATGAAAAGCCGTAATTTTAGTCCGATTTCAATAATTTTTAACGGTTTTGCTTTTATGTGGCAAGCACAATAACCATACCGAGTTTGGTACAAATTGGTAGAACGGTTACCGAGATACATATATGTGATCATAAGTGGGCGGTGCCACGCCCATTTTCCAAAATTTTATGATAAGCGTATTTCCTGATAAAGAATTGTTGAAAGCATCATTTTTGAATAAATTAGCTTCAATATTTACGGATTTATCGAAGATTTCGTATTTCTCCAAATTACCGTTATATGGGATGTGGGCGTGGTTATTGTCCCATTTTTAAAATTTTCGGCCATTTGGTATCCTGTACCAAGGCCAATAACTGCGCCAAGTTTGGAAGAAATCGGTGCAGCGGTTGCCAAGATATACACATATAACACTAAGTGGGCGTGGCTACGCCCATTTTTCAAAAGTTTATAATATTCTTATTTTTCGTCTAAAAGTTATTGCAAATATCAATTTTGACTGAATAATCTTCAGTAGTTACTAAAATATCGCAGTTTTCGTATTTCTGAAAATTACCGTTATATGGGAGGTAGGCGTGGTTATTGTCCGATTTTGCCCATTTTCAATACCATCCGTCCTACGCCCGAAAGAAGTGTACGTGCTAAGTTTCGTTAAGATATCTTAGTTTTTACTGGAGTTATCGTGTGCACAGACGGACGGACGGACGGACGGACGGACAGACAGTCACCGCTTAATCGATTTCTCTTTTCATCCTGATCATTTATGTATGCATTTGTCTATATATATCTCGATTCGTTTTGCCTGTTACAAACAACCGTTATGTGAACAAAGTTATAATACCCTTGTGCACAAGTGCGCTCGGGTATAAAAAACTTCATTTCTCAAAAAAAAAAACTTTTTTAATTTTTAGACAAATACATATGACTCATTTACTTCAATAGTGTCATAATTCAAAATAGCAAAACGGCTTTAACCCCGCAAACATATTCTGAGCGTTCAGAATATATGAGTCCGAAGGGAGTCCTAGGTAGGTAAGAAATATGAGTTTCAAAAACCAAAATTTGTTTACTCTTATATGAATCTTTTAGGACTCATATATGATCCAAGTTATGAGCCAGCACCTTGTGCCAATATAAAAACAATAAAGATTTGAAATTTATATCCAAACTTGTTTATACAGAAATTGAAAATAATTAGAAAACAATAAATGAACAAAATTTAGCTGTAGCTGCATGCATGTTGGAATGTGTATATGCACGTAAGTATGTATGCATGTTATTTGAAAGGAATTTTCGCTGAATGCTTTTGCAAATAAAGTGCGTTCAATAAGACTCAAAGAACAACCTAAAATAAGAGTCCGAATTTAGTAATTTATGAGGCTGATTAGAGGCTCGAAAAGAGTCTGAAATGATTCATATATGAGGCCAATAATTGTTTTAAAAGAGTCCAAAATGAGCCGTATATTAGGCCAATAAGAGTCCAATTTGACTCATATTGAGGCTCATTTGTTGTATGAATTTAAGCTCATATTGGTCGACCTTCGGGGAAAGGGAAATACCCTCATATCGGACTCTTAAATGAGCTCATTATGAGCATAATGGCTCCGAAATAGGACTCCTTAAAGACTCATTTATGACTCCAAATGTTTGCTGGGAAAGTTTTGAATTTCATACATACATATACACCGATAGTTAAAATGAATGCATATTTGGTTTTACATAGTGAGATACTGGTACATAATCGATACAGCTATGCAATTTTTAAACACAACATAGAAGTAGCGGTAATTTCTGCAACTCAACTCAAAATTTTTAATTTTTGAACTATGACACCATTGAGGTAAATGTATATATGTATACGGTGATATATTATTAACTTCAAAGTTGAGTGTACAGTGATTGTTTTTTTTTTTTAATATTTCCAATGTTTTTCACGGTAGATATTTTTTGTTAATCTTTTATTAAAATATTGGTTTGTTTTCAATATTCACAATCGGCATCACAATCGATTATGCTTAGCTATTAGATCAGCAAACAAATATTGAGTAGTTTATTTGAAGTGTATGGTACACCGTAAAATTTTATTCTTATCTCGAAGAATTGCAATTGTTGGCGACAACAAGTCACATTAAATTTTATTGTCACACGTTTGACATAGTACAAATTACAAAGTAAGATAAAGGCAAAAGTTGAACTTTAAAAGACGAGAAAACTGACGAAATACTAAAAACTTGTATGTTCGCTGCCCGCCATCTTTTCTTCTTTTTACTCCAAAATCGACGAAAAACTCAAGTTGCCATATGGTGGCTCTATGACATGAATTTAGGATGCGGTTACACTACCAAGTTACCGACAATTATCCATTGCTGGGGAATGTAAAAACCGAATTTTCGGTATGCGGTTTGAAAGTAAAAAACGATTTACACCTAAATTAAAAAAGACTGAAAAAGATCAGTAAC